TGCCACCCTCCCACCCCCCCTCCATTGGATTGTTTTGAAGAAAATTCCAAGTATCATTTCATGAGTAAAATGAGAAGATCTTTTATTTAAATACAACCAGAATACTCTTTAATCAGTGTTCACATTTCCCTGGTTGTCACAAAACATATTTCTTAATAGTTTTTTGTTTCAGATCAGATCCAAACAAGGTCCAGATGTTGCAACTAATATATCTCTCTGTCTTCTAATCTACAATTTTTCCATTTCTTTCTTGTTTCCCTCGCAGTTGTTGAGGGTCATCTCCATGTCTGTTTTGTTGATTCCACTCTCCCCTGTGGTGGTGCTAGCCTTGCTCCTTTGTCGTGTGTATTTGCTTTAGCTAATAATCTGACCCTCATCTTCAAGCTTGATCTAATTGATACTCAACTTTGCGAAAGAATGCTTCTTTTCTTTGTGAAATGTCATACTTCTATTAGAAGGTGCATAATGTCCAGTTGTCTTTTTTGAAAGTGATGATAGCAGCCATGAATGATTATTGCCTAGATTTATTGTCTCATAAGGGATTTCATCCCATTTGGCCATACTCTCATTTCCTCCTTCATTTATCAGCTGGATTACAACCATGAAGAGCCTCTTTCTCTCCTTAATTCTGGTTATCCTGTAGGATAGAATTTTAAGAGGATATCTGTAAATATGTAAATATTTGAAGTTGATATTCACATGAGGTTTCCCTTTTATTTTTTTCTATCATGTTAAACCTATAGCATCTTGTGGACTTGAAGGGTTCTTAATCATTTTTTATGGGTTTGCGTTTTGGGGGAGGTAAAGAAAACAGTTTTTCCACTTCCCTGAAGTGTCAAGGGATTACTAGTGGGAAGCTAAGAAGGGAACATGTGATGTGGACCACGGACAGGCAATAGTTAAATTTTCCTTAGCCAGATATTCTTAAAATAGTGGAAAAGTTATTTTCTTTACCCCCCAAAAAACCCAAACTATGAGGCAGGCTCTGTTTAATCTGACCTCCTTGCCTACAGTGTCATGCAGACCCCTTCAGAGGTAATGAACTCCCTGTCACTGTAGGTATCCGAGCAGAGACTGCCTGACCAGCTCTCCTCCAGGGAGGTTGGACCAGACAAACTGTTAACAGTCCTTCCAATTTTAAATGTGGCATTTCTAGGGTAGATGATTGATAAGAACATATTACAGAAAATCCAACAGCCAAGAATCCAAGACATCTCAAACCCATCACCAGGCTTTCTCTCCCAGGCACTGTCCTGAACCTGCCATTTGCCTGCCAAACGTGTGTGAGACAACAAAGCCCCGGTGAGATCGGACACTTTGTTCTCCTGATTGCATTCTCACCCCTTTCTCTTCCCCAGGGTGTGACCTACACCCAGCTGGTCTCACAGCTGCCCTGTGAGCACCGGTCCCGCCCGTGGAGGCTCCTGTCTGAAATCTCTCAGATCTCCAGGTTCTCAGAGCTAAGTCCCACTAGGTAAACTCAAGGAGCTCATCCCAGCTCCATGCTGAGCCAGAAATATCCTAGAGGCCTCAGAGTTAAGTAAGTCTGCAGGTTCTACCCGTCAATACTCAGATTGACGTGAGTCAGACTAGGAAAGTATCAACAGCAACGATCACCTTTGTAGTCCTTTCATTATTTTCTCCTTTCCCCTAAATCTTTTTTCCCCCTGCCTAACTGTATTTATCTTCCTTTCAGGAACAGGCTCCCATTGCGCAGCCTCCCTTCTTCCAGTCTTGCCTATGTGGCTTCTTCCATTTTACCCAAGAGCAAGCGCACCACTGGTCAGTTTTTAAAACTTAGGAAAACTTCGAAGTGCTAGACGGAAGGAATGTACAGTGGTGGGCGCCTCAGTCGTATCCATCCTGTCCTCTCCCACTCTCACAATGAGTTTTACAAATATTTTGATCAGAGGCTCATTCCACTGCTAACTAATATTACTGTCAGTCATTTTATTGTTATTGTTTTTGTTATTATACTTGCTCCAAGGAAGTTGCCCCTGGATAAGTGAAAGCAGGTAACTGAGGGGTTGTTCACGTTCACCTGTTTCATGCATATTAAGAATCATCTTTGCCCAAGACTGTCTCAGATGTGCTGCACTTTACAAAGAACGATGGTGATACCTCTCTCTGCTTCATAATCAGCAGTTTTCCTTCCTTCGCTTTATTCTAATTTACTTTGCTTTCACAGGCTAACCAGTGATCGGGTACTTCTCTGATATATAAAATACTTTTTGAGTTACAGTGGAATTTGGGGTCTGCTATGAGCATGAGTGTGTTTTAAGTGTGAATTGAGTCTGATGTTTAAGCTTAAAGGCGTCTCTTTTTAAAATTGGAAATTAACATCTGGATGAAGCTGCGGAGTGACTACTTGTGTCTTCTAAAAATATTTTCTGTCTTTGTTCAGGAAATATTATGGAGAGAAGATCGGAATCTATTTTGCCTGGCTGGGCTATTACACTCAGATGCTCCTCCTGGCAGCAATAGTGGGCGTGGCGTGCTTTCTCTACGGATACATGAATCGAAATAACTGCACATGGAGGTAACCCTTGTTTATTCCTTGTTACTGCGATGAAAGTTGATGAGACATAAAATTATTTTCATGGTCTTAGACTTCTTTAGTAAAAGAAGACTCATCTCAAAACAGTTACTGCTTTGGATGATGTGTCGCTTTTGTTCTGAGTCTAATCATCAAGTGGAATGGAAAATTTTTTTCTTAGATCATGCAGCCCTGGCTCTGACAGGAGTATTATCCTCAGGAAACACTTCAATATTTTAAGACAATGTTTTGTTTTCAAAAGAAAGGAGGTCTGTAGGGAGGATCATCCTTGAACTTCTGGCCTCCAGAGGAATGCTTTTCTTAGCCCTACAGTTGTGGGCCAAGAGCACCTCTGATCCCTTCAAAGTTTCAGTGGCAAAACTGGTACAATTGGTGTTCTTATGCTTTTAGAAATTATTTCTTTTACATATTTAAAAACTTAAGTAAACAATACTTTTGTTTTTGTTTTACTTTTTAAAAACTGGCCCTTACAAACTTAGGGGGGGAAATAAGTGATAAAGAATGATGTTGTGCTTGATGTTGGGATTCAGATACCAGCTGCACTGTCTAAAGAGAAATATGTGGGTGCCAGAACACTGCCTTTTACCATCGCTATTCTGAATTATGTGATTATGCCTCTGCTTTTGGTCTTCTCAACCTTCAACAGAGATGCAACACTAAACCAAGTATTTTCTTTTGATCTTCTGGCCTCTATCCAGATGTGACAGCCAGATCATAATTTCTGGACACCAGCTATGAGCAGACCAAATTTTTCTAGCCTGGAGCACATTAGGCTGGCTCCCAAGGCAGGCAGTTTATGTGGCAGCCCTGACATGTAGGCATAATTATCCATTCTATTTAACAGAGGGTTCTGAGTATTCTGTACCCATTGTGGCCTCTTAGCTGGAAAGCTGCAGATGGCTTTAAAGGACTCGCTTCTCTTCACTGAAACAGAGTTTAGAGCAAGGGCTGAATGTTGATATTTTTAACCTAAATTTGTCCTTGGCTTCTCCATTGTTTTGTGTATTTTTCCAACTCCACCCCCTTCTTCCCCCAAAAAAGGCATCTCAAAAATTATACTTTCAAAGTGCAAAGTTACATTTTTTATAAAGTTCTTCAATGGTGGTTGTAGACTATATTCTTACAGAGATTTAGCTGTTTTTCCTCAAATAAATACCCCTTAGGTTGCTGTAAGTTTTTAATTTCAAGAGCTCTGCAGAGGTTAATTTTGACAAATGTTGCCGTTGTTCTCATACCTTGTGTAGAGGAACAGACTTTCTAAGATCTTTAGTCAGATGTTCTAAAACTGCTTTACATGCCCGTTTGGTTGTAATTGACCTATTTGTAAGACCAACTAATTACACAACTCCAGTTCCATTCACATACAAGTCCCTCTGAATGGCTTCTCCTAGAGCAAGCAGTGTGCATCCTGTTGTTGGTTGGTTTTTTCATATTAATTTGTAGGAGTGCTTTAAATACTCTGGTGAATCATCCTTTGTCATCTTTATGTGTTACAAACTTTTACCAGTTTGTAGCTAATTCTTTTTTCCCTCCCTTTATTGTATATTTTGGTGAAGTTCTGGCTTTTGAAAGATTTTGAATGTATCAATATCTTTTTTAATGATTTATGCCTTTTGGTTTCTTATTTATAGAATCTCTCCTTACCCCTAAGGTTATTTAAATATTCTCTCTCTCTTTTTTTTTTTAATAGTAAGTTGGTACTGTTGCATTCTCATTTTCCACCTGGAGTTGATTTGCATGTGATAGGATTTGGGAGTTCAGTTTCATGTCTTGCCATGTGGATATTCCATTGCTACGTTCCCATTTATGAAACGTCAGTTCTCGCCTTACTGATTGGCTGGGCCAGCCCTCTTATAAGTTCAGTTTTTGTATATGCAGATGTCTCTTTCTAAACTCTATTTTGTTCTCTTGGTCAGTTTTTCTTAACCTGTGCCAACACCACCTTGTTTTTGTTTTTTGTTTGTTTGTTTGTTTTTAGTGGTATCTTGGATCTTCTGAGCCCTTTGGTCTTCTAATTGAATTTCCAGCTCAAATGGCGGAGAAATGACATCTTTAAATATTGATTCTTCCAAATTATGAACATCATAATGTATCCACTTATATAGGATTCACTCTATGTATTTCACTCTTTCAGAACAGTTTTATAATTTTCTCCATATAAATCTTACACCTCTTGAGTTAGATTTCTTTGGCTCTTTATATTTTTCAAACTACTTTAAAATGGAATTTTAAAAAATGAATTCCTAATTGTTGCAGGTCTGTAGGGACAGAGTTCCTTTTGTGAACCTAGGTATATTTTGTGTATTAATTTTGTGTCTGCAAATTTACTAAACTCACTTATTCTTATAGCTTCTCTGTAGATTCTATTGAGTTGTTTATATAGACAATCATGTAGCCTGTTAGCAAGAGGAGTGTTTTTTTCCTTGGCTTACTGTGCTGTCGGTGGCCACCACTGAGAAGAAGTGGCGATAGAAAGACCCATCACCTTGTTTCAGATCTAAAGGAAATACTTTCAGCATTTTACCATTAGGTGGAATGTTTTTGTAGGCTTTATGTAGCAAGCCTGTACCAATCAAGCTAATGAAGTTCATTTCCATTCCTAGTTTTTTAAGAATTTAGTTTTATTTTCTTATAATGAATGGGTGTTAGATTTTATCATTCTGCTAGAAAGGAAGTCCTATTCATTAAGTTTTTAAAAATTAAATTAAAATTTTCTCTTTTCTTTAGCAAAGAAGTTTGTGATCCTAATATTGGCGGCAACATCATAATGTGTCCTCAGTGTGATAAGCTTTGTCCATTCTGGAAACTCAATATTACTTGCGAGTCCTCACAGGTAATTTCTGTTATTCTAAACATTTTCAAATAATGAAAAATTTTTTTTCTAATAATTTTAGTACAATATAGAAATTATAATTTTTTCTCAGAGGAATTCAGAAAGGTAATTTTGAACTAACCCTTTATTCCAAAAGGCAGATACAGCATGCATGTGTTTATTCCTCTTTTACAAATAATAAATTGAGATTAAAAGCCTTATCTAAGATCTCCTCAAGGGTCAGGGAGGAACTGTGGAACTGAAACTGTTTGAGCATTTCAAGTAATCAAAGCACAAATCTGACTCAGCTTATTTCATGCAAACTATTTAATAGGTTTACTACTATAAGTATTTTCCTTAATTGAAGTGAGTGGAAACCTGAAATTTGTACTTGTGTTTTCCCACGTTTAAAGTGTGCTATAACTACATTCGTATTTTTAAAAACCTTGCTGGTCAGATTTAGACTGTATCTGTAAATATGCATGAAAAAGGTTTTGACAACAGATACTTTGTCTCAAAATATTGCCACAAGACACACCTGGCTCCCCTGCTAACTGCATATGGTCTTGAGCTATGTGACTTCTCAAAATGCAGGAGGCTTAGGACAAGCGTTGAGACCGGAGGGAGCTTACTGAAAGGCATGCCCGCAGCTCCAGATAGGAAGGAAGACCGCCAGCTTGCTTTGGAGAGTTTTCCTGACGACTTTGACATAGTACCTCACTGGCTGTGTGTGATCTTTCCTCTCTTCCCTTGTTCTGTTATGAAAGTTTAGGAATCGTTATGTGGGCTCAGAATATTCTGATCTACTCCACATAAGTGTTATTTTAACTGAACGCAGTACCGTTGTAGTGATGTCACTTTGTATTTTATACTTTGTGAAGTTTTGTACTTACCACTTTTGACGCACACGACAACCCTGTGAGATAGGCAGAGCAGGTGTTACCTCCATTTTACAGATTAAAACACGGAGGCTCTGAGAGATTAGTTTGCTCCAGGTCCCCCACCGGTTAACTAACAAAGCCAGAACCTGACAGCGAGTCTGCATTTCTTGCCATCACCGTGTTTCTCACCAGCTAACAGTAGTACCAGGCACTCCACTCTCAAATTGAGTTCTGTGTTTGAAAAATTGTTCCACCACGTAATTAAGATGATTACAGGGTATTGTCAACACATGGATTTTTACACTTAATTTATGAATTAGAATAGATTTCATTGCCCACCCTACAAATCAACACAAATTCCAGCCTACAAATATCTGTCATATATGACACGAAGGAAGAGACTTGAAGCTGGTAACAGAGGAGCTGCCTCCCAGTGATGTTAACTCATAAAGGCCAGAAGTTAGTGTGTGTCCCCAGGCACTGGATTTAAGGCAGATGTCAACCATAATACCAGAGGCAGACTGTGCTCCAGAGTACAACGATAAATTTCATTTTTCTTAAGAAATTCTCTTTCACACACCCTACCCCATCTCTTTTCTCATTTCTTCTGCTCCACTTACCCATCTTTAAACACATGACTTTTGAATAAGTCCCTGTGTACAGATTTTTTTCCTTGTTTTGGGAAAAATGAGTCATTCTATTCCAGTTTCCTGAAGGATCCCTTGAGCCTTGTCAGAGTGATTTACAAAGGGAAGGAAATAAATAAAAAATGAGTAAAAGAATCAAATGAAAAATATGTTTAGAAAAGAGAGTCTATTTATGCTTTTCTTTTTGTTGGATAATTATTTCTTTTTTTATAATTAAAAAAAAATTTTTTTATTGATTCGAGTGAGAGGGAGGGAGGAAAGGGGGGGAGAGAGAAACATTGATTTGTTGTTACTTTTTTAAAAAAAATATGTCTTTATTGATTTCAAAGAGAAGAAGGGGGAGAGAGGGAGAAAGCTAAAAACATCGGTGGTGAGAGCGCCATTGATCGGCTGTCTCCTGCATGCCCCCTACTGAGGATCTAGCCTGAAACCCAGGCATGTGCCCTGACCAGGAATCAAACTACAGTCTCCTGGATCCTAGGTCGATGCTCAACCACTGAGCCATGCCATCTGGTCTTGTTCCACTTACTTATGTATTCATAGTTTGATTCTTGTATGTGCCCTGACCAGGAATCGAACCCCCAACCTTGGCGTATTGGGATGATGCTCTAACCAACTGAGCTACCCAGCCAGGGCCTCCAATTATTTATTTATTTATTTGTTTGTACATTTACTTATATATTTATTTCTACTTTTCTAAAGAGATGGAATATTCACTAAATGACATGTATGCTAAAAGATTTAACAGATTACAAATATAAATATAAAATCAGAATCAAGGGGTTTAAAAGTTATGGAAATAATTGGGATTAATATTGTTTTTGTGATTGAGCATTGAATAAAGTTCTAGCTTTTGGCTGGCAAGATAAAAGGGAAACATGGTAAATTACAACATTTTGTTCTTAGAAATACATTAAGCTATACAATTTTGATTTTGTTCTGTTGCAGGAAGAAAGCGTAACAAATGGTCACTTTAGATTCTGATTGGTTCCTCTCTGAAAGGCATCACGCCCCCATGCGTAGCTCTCTGCTCTTTCCTGCGCCGCGGGACTGAAGCCGCGTGCTCACTGGGGGCTCCTCACGCAGCTGGCTTTCGCTCTCGGTGCCACCCCGCCAAGCAAGCCACGCCAACCAAGCTCGGCTTCTCGCCGAGAAAGCCCCTGCTTGCCTTCTCCTGCCTCCTGCTCCCGTGTCACTGTGGGTCTCATAGAGCAGAGAGCTCAGCCTTCTCATTCTCTCTCTTGGGTCCTTGATTTTTTCACTCATGTGGCAAAAATGGTAACTTTATCCAAGCCACCTAACTACCTCTCCTAGGAGAGGGCACATCCCTTGTCTTAAACCAGGCAGCTGGTGTGATCTTGGCGTCCGCAATTAGCCTGCTTTTTCTTGCTGCTCCTATTTTTTCTGCCTCGCACTGGCAGATGTGCCTCCCTTGGCTTTTTTCAGCATCGTAGGGCAAAGAAGTCACAGGATGTTTTCTTCCTAGAGTGGATGGGCAGAGGTGTCAGGGCAGGTGGGGAGGTATCAGATAGAAGGAGGCTTGCATTGATTCCGAAAAGAAAAGTAACGTCAGAACTGTCAGTAACAGCATGATAACACCCAGAACAATTTTTCATAAAACTTCTCTTATAATAATTTTCAGTAAGAGATAAGGCATAACATTTTAAGACACCTTGGAGAAGATAGTCCCGCAAGAGTCAAAGCTAAAAAGATTTTAAATGTGTGGTGCGTGGAATCCCGGAACTCGAGGGGGAGGTGGAGAACTTTGTTCCCTGGGGCACGCACTCGTGTATTAATGGTCTTCCTTGAGCGGGAGTGTTTGAGAGGAACAGTTGGCTGGCAGCAACCTGGGACTGTGCCTTCTGATCAGGGTCTCTGTGGTTGATTAAGGGGCATCTGCTTTAGAAAATAGGTATATGAGTGGAGGGGAGGGTTGGGTGGATAATCTTCTATGAAAATAACCTAACTAATGTTTTTACGTTGATGAAAGTTTATCCACTTCACGTCAGTATGAAGGACAACCCCAAAAGTTACCTAAAACAAAGTAGAATTTTCCTTAAAAGCAGCTTGGCATTTTCTTTATCATTTGAAAAGCTTGCTTTGTTTGTTCGTTTGTTTGTTTTGTTTCGTTTTTACCTATAGCTGCTTTTTCTACTCTGTTTTCTTTATTGTTCATATGATCTATCATGAAGTTGATATTACATATTTTTGCCCCTTTTTCCATTAATGTTACAGATATTTTTAGGAGATGTTAAAAAAGCTCACTCATGAAAAATTAGTACCTAACTGAATGATTTTCCAGGAATTCATAGAGGGAGATAGGCTATTTATAAGTGAGCAGAAAGATGAAACTTAGCAGAACTGGTGAACAGAGCCTTCCTTGTGCAGGTGTGCCGTTTATTCGTTCGTGGTCATTGCACCCTCTGTAAAGTCAGCGAGAGCTCCCGTGCATTCTTACTCCCGGAAGCCTCTGTGGGCGATGGTAGAAGAGCCTGCATTGGGTGTGAGGAAACAGCTCTTCTGGGGGAGAGCCATCTCAGAATACACCAGCTTTGTACTTCTCTTATCAAGAAAAGCAGGAATTCAGGAACTTAACCTCTGACCAGGGCAGATGATGATAAGATGCAAATCTTAATCTGAAAGTTGCTGGGAGTCCATTGTATTCTTAGGGCCATACTACTTCCTCAACTTCGTTTTATGACAGCTCACAGATGAGCCCATTATTCAAAAGCCTGACAGATTCTTTAAACAGAGTGGAATCTTAGCAGCTGTGCCTATTTCTTTATCATGATATGAAAATATTCCTTTGCAAAACGAGCTAGTAAATATAGCACAGGCTGTTTGCTTCCAAAAGAATGAGAAATCCCACCTATAAGTGTGGAGGGCATATAGTGATTGTTAAACTGGGTAACAATTTTCAAAAGAAATTCAGACAGTACAATACACAAAGCAGTGAATATTTGATGAATTCTAGTAAGTGGAGAACAGGATTAATTTATTTGTCATTATTGTATTTTCCAGAAATTGTGCATCTTTGACAGCTTTGGAACCCTAGTCTTTGCAGTATTTATGGGGGTATGGGGTAAGTTTTCTTTTCCTTTTTTTCCAGTTTACTTTTGCCCCTTAACATAAAAAAACAACAACAAAAAACCCTGAGATCATACAAGTGCCCAATTTAATAGCATTATACAATTTTGTATAGGCTAGCAAAGTAACCCACTTTTAGGACCTTGGATTGCCCAAGCCTCAGCTCCTCTAGAACTCCATTTAAAACTCTTAAAGGCCATTGTATCAGGTACTGCCTAACAGACTGTCTCAAAATGTAGTAGCTTAAAACACACATTTATTATTCCCATGATTCTCTGGGTCGGCTGGGAAGTTCTTCAGCCCTGGGCTGGCTCAGCTGGTTTCTGTACTGAGCTGGCAGCTCCACTGGGCGAGATGGTCTGGCAGTCACCGGGCTGACTGGGGCGTGGGGCTCAGCTAGGCAAGCTCGTCTTGCTCCATGCTGCCTCTCATCCTCCGCTGGGTGAGCCCAGGAGCCTTCACATGGTAGTTTTAGGGTTCCAAAGAAAGACAAGACAGGGCAAGCCTTAATGCATACACAGTTTTTTAAGCCTATGGTTGCATCAAGTTTACAAGTGTCCCATGAGCCAAAGCAAGTCATGGCCAGCCAACAACAGTGTGAGGAGGTGGGAGGATTACCCAAGGGCTTGGATGGAGGGAGGCATGATTCTTTGGGAGCCAGTGTTATAACAGTCCCATGGCTATCAGCCACCCTAACTTTCATGGGGTTGTGGTTCAGGGGAAGCACCAACACAGGGATTACAGGTAAGCTTTCTTCTTCATGTCCTTCTCTATGAGTGAGTGTTTAATAAGTATGTGCTACTCTTAAAATAATATCACGTCCTATTTACTAAGTCAAACAAATATTATCCTAAACAATATAATTTTATATAGAAGCTTTAACATTATATTCATATCATTTACTTGAATAGCATCATTAATGAGGCAATTATTTTCTTCAAATGCAGACTTTTACATGTTTAATTGATGTAAATGTTCTACCATAGAAGGAAAAAAATTTCAAAGATGAACACATTTCCAATTTCATTGTGTAAGTCCAGAGGAAAATACAGTTCAGGTTACAGATAGGTAGGGGAAGAAGGAGAACCAAGTCTCTTATTCTTAAGATAACACATCAACACATGGAATCATAGAAACAGTTCTTTACAGGTGTCCCCGGCAGTGTTTCTCTTTGCGGTGGTTGTGCCTGTAAAGGGTCACCAAATGGACCTCAGAACAGACATTGGACTTTTCCTAGAGACACGAGCCGCCACTTGTGGATTAACTAGACTATAAGGTGGCCAAATTTATCTAAAAAGTTACATTGTCATTCAGACATTTAGCATGTTTTGGCTGAAAACCAAGCACTGGCTAATATTTGACACATAGAAGAATAAAGATCAAATGCATGTATTAAGATCCTGTGTACTCCTTCATTGTTTTTCCCCAGTAAGAGCACAGATGCCAAACACATGGGTGGTGGGTACTTTTAACTCTTGTCTAAACCTTAGCCTCAGCACTGATTCATAATATATAAAATTCTGACACACCTATTGAACTCCATATACGAATGGATACTGACAGCTCTATTTAAAACGATATCTTAAATAAAGCAAAAAATATATATTAATTTTGGCACTGGAAAGACAAACCTCAGATTTCCCTAGCTAACCTTGGTTTCCATGATCATTAACTACACCATGTTTATAGAACTGACTGAAGCACATTGAGCTACTGATTTTATTTCATCAGATTTTAGAATGCAGAAAACATCTCTGCCCTGCTTACAGCACCATCTGTGTATCTTTAAAGATATGTATGTATGATGAAGTCTTTATTTTAAGTGCCTTATATTGCTTTTCTTGCTACCTCTGCCTTATGAGAACTACTGCTGTGAGCCTCATTACAGAAAGCCTGAAACTGTAGCACTGAAAAGGCAGGAGGATCGTGTGAAGTTTTTCATATCACCATCATCATATTCCTGCAGCATCTCTTTTGTGCCCAGATGTATGAGGCACTTAGAGTGTTTTTCTGTTCCCTAGGAGTTATACATGTTGAGAATAGAAAACCTTTTATAATAAATACAGTACAAATTATATACTTGTCTTCACCCTTCTAGGCCAAGCCAGCCCACCCAATCAGACTACTTATAGTCCTGAGCACTTCAACCCATGGTTGAAGGAAAGGTTCTTAACATACCCCCACTCCCCATCCCTTGTTTTCTTCTTACCTACTTCTATCCAATTCTCCCTGGCTCCAGGCTCTTGGCAGTATGACTGTAATTTTTCATTTTCACCTTTGAGTCCTAATCTAGGCCTAATGCTTTCCAAAGAAACACTGGATACCTGGCTCTTAAGGGTCCATGGAATAGAGACGATATTACCCTAATTATCTGCTCTTCCAGGGGGGGAGGGGGTGGAAATGACTGTAGCAACTGAGTTCTAGAGCTGCGCTGCTCCTGTTGGGTCCACATAGCAAAATAACAGCTCCTACAACTGCCTTCTCTGCTTCTGTTCAACTCTGCTTCTGATTGAAGTAACACAGATGCACATAATGAGCATTTTAAAAATTGACCTGGAACTCTAGCTGCAAGAGAGTCTGTGAGAATGCTGATTAGAAGCGCTGATACTACTTTTTGTGAAAAATACAAGTTTTCTTTTTCATAAATCATCTACTGTTGATACTGTTGCTAGATAGTAAGTAAATGGATGGCTGTTATACTCCCATTTTAAAGATGAAGAAAGTGACACTTGGGGAGATTAAGCAGATTGCTCAAGCCCGCCGAGACAGAGTGACAAGCATAGAATAAGAGCTCTGCAAATAATTTGGCTGTCATCAGCCTTTGGATCGGTGACAAAATAGAGTAATAAAGTTGCAGGAGGCTTTTAGAAAGATGCTTAAATATTTACTCGATTGATACAATAGCACTGTTCTGTCTGGGGTTTGGAATAATAGGAATGGGTTAGAAAATGTTGGTTCCATGTCTTTGGTTCTACCTCACCTGACACAGGTATAACAGGAAAAGAAAGCACCAGGCTTCCAGCCTCATTGTACCAGCCTTAGGAGATAAAGTAGGTTCATTTCATTTACACCTGCCTCAATCACAGTTTTCTTTAAAAATAGATATGCTTAAAGATACACATTCATGAAAGTAAGCTGCAAGAGAAGGAAATTGGAGATTTTCTCCATTTTTGAAAAAGAATATCAAAAACATCTAATAGATTAAAATTGCAAAATTTAGAGGAATGACAGTAACACAAGGAAGATTAGGATTTTTAGAGGACTTTTTCCAGTAGTCTGGGCTCATAAAGAGGCCATAATGGGGCAGACACTATCTTCCCACCTGTAGTTTCTTTCCTTAGAAAGTCCAGAGTTTCCGCTGCTGGGCGGTCATAGTGCTTCGAGTTGTGAGAACACATGGTGATCCCTTAAGTCTTCTGCTCTGAAATCCTCCCAGCGGTCAAGAGGCTGGAGCCACCATGACCTCACCAGTGAACTGTCACATTGTCCTCCATCTCAGCTTTCCCAGACCTGTTGCTGGGTATAGGTGAACTGAGGGCCCAAGTGGACTGGTATATAGCAGAGAATGGTGGGGAGTGGGTGGCCATGCACAGAGGAGCCATTGGAGTAGATGGTTCCATCCTTCAGGGGTCCCAGATGGTGGGAGTCCTCCAGTCTCTGGATTAGCTTCCTGCAGCTCATTCATTCACTAATATTCATTCAGTGCCTGCTGTGTGCTAATGCTTCAGGATGAAAGAAACAAGATTCCTGCCCTCGTGAGGGTGGGATTCTAGTGGGCAAGATAAACAATAAATATAGAAGCAAATACAAGTCGGGATCCTGAGTGTTACCTGTTTTGAAGCACAGAAGTTGAGGTCAGCAGAGGGAATAGAGTGTGCCCTTTTTGAGAGAACGTGGCCTGCCGCTGGACGGATTTTACAGTTAGATGGGAGCCACAGTTGAAAGGACTTCAACTGGAGAGTGTATTCTCCCGGAAGGAGAATTCTCAAGTAATCTGAAAAGTAGGGGCCTTCTACTTGATGGGGGTGCATGAGTGTTTATCAAGGAGATGTGAGCCCAGGGGACTTTACTAAGTGGGTGGCATATACTGTGCTGCTTCAGATGAAGCCCAGGGAGGGCTGGCTCATGAGTGACTTATTTCCCCACTGGGGGTCTCTTTGGGGAGTCTCTGCCACATGAGGGCAGCATGGATTGGGTGGGATCAGCCAGTGACAACTTGTTCCACAGAGTTACCTAGTGCCCTGAAGACTTTCATCACGTTGACACTCATTTCCTCCTGGTTTGAGACAAGGACACAAATGGCTGGGCAGCTTTTCTGTGGTGGAGGCATCAGTCTCCATACTGAACACTCAACAGTGTGGGCCCCTTGCCTTGGCTTTGACCTTAGGTAGATGAGATGGCAAGGCAGCTGAGTTATAGAGATATGGACACCACACTTCCATTTTCACACAGAGGCCTGTTTTCGAAGGTTCTTACCAGAGAGCTTTCTTACCCATAAACAAGGACCAGGTTCTTTCAGTCTGGGAATTAGGTACTAAGTCCAAGTACAGAAGCTCAGGAGGGAGAGACAGGCACACAGGAGAAGGAGGCCCTTCTTGAGAGCAGGAGAAGTCTAATCAGTCCTGCTCTCAGGGGTCTGACAGGTGAGCCAGCTCAGTTTCTCTCACAAGTTATTCACTCACAGGATTTGGGGCATTTGAGTAACCTGAGAGTATCAGGAAATAATACCCCAGGGCTTTGAGGATTTCACCCTCCAGTGTTAACTCATCCGTTGTAAGTGTTGTTGCGCAAGGAGATGGAGTTCGGTCGACCATTAGGCCATTGCCTGTGCTCCCTGATGGGGACAGTGGATTACAAGGTACACTACAACTTGGTGGCAGGGGAAGGGGAGGCATCATTCCTACTAAAGAGGCTAGGAGGCCTTACGTAACTCCTGCCCTTGGTTTCAAAGCTTTGTAAGGAAAACTAGCTCCCTTCCAGCTCCCCAACCAAGTAGGAGACAAGAAGTGGTCTCCTCTACTAGCTGAGCTCTGTGCCTCTATTAACAATAGCACCCACAGCAAAAAACTGGGCTGCCACCTCTATTCCCTTATAGACATTCCAGTTGCCACAGCATTGGCCACTGAGAGTGGTGTACCCATAGAGGCTCCATGTGGGAACAGGACAGTTACTAGCAGTGTGCCCAGAGGAGAGCCAGAATCAGAAACTGGAAAAGCAAGCCCTGATGGCACCCAAGCAAAGAGTGGGCTCCATGGTACAGAGCCAAAGGAAGGTGGGTTATGGAGCAGGAGAGCTGAGGGGCAGAGCTTGGGCTCCAGAGCCAGGAGTGCCTGGGTTTGATTCCTGACTCCAACACTAATCCCAGGCAAGTAGTTGGACCTGTCTTTGCTTCTGTTTCTTGGTGTCTACAATGGGGATAGCAATAGCAGTGACCTCGGAGGGTTTGGAGGGCCTTTACAGATATTGTCAGTAAGTTCACAGCAGCCTGTGGGTAGGTTCTATTGCCCCCATTTTGCAGAGCACAAAGTCCTGCGATCGCTCCACCTGGCTGCCCCACCATGCTCATCACATTGTCTCACTTCCAGACTCTCTGCAGTTTCTGGAAAGTACCTGGCTGTCTTCGTCTTGCCTTTGCATGCGCAGCTCCCTGGGGGAAAATTGCCTTAACCTGATCAGTCTAAGTCATCTCAAGACTCATGTAGTGTCCCCTCCTCTCAGAGAGCCATGGTTACATATTCTGGCACTATGTGCCCAGAGCAACCTGAGTTTACCTTTGTCAAGGACCTGCTAGTCTACAATAACTAGCACTTCACTGTAATCCCTGTACACCTAGGAGCCCTTGTAGTAGAGATTGCCTTTTTTCTCTTCTCAGCACATAGTAGAAACTCAAAAAACATTTATGGATGGAATAGTGGTAACTCCAGGATCTCTGTACAGGAAGGGCTTAGTGGCATTAGTCTGGAAGAGCGGTCTAGAGGATTTACCCTGAAACTACATTTTCAATTAACATTTAATGCTATCTTTATTTAGTACTCTTTTAAGTTACAAATCTTAAAATGTAATAAAGATTTCTAAAAATTACTTTATATTTTTTACAAGGTAGAGAAAAATATCAGTGTTCCATATTTAAGAATATTATGTTAATTTGGGGTGGCTTGGGTGGAGGTAAATAGAGATTTGGGAACTACTAAAGTATCCCCCCACCCAGGCCCCTGGGGAGGAAGCGAGGGAGAGGGACATGGGCAAGAGCAGCCTGAAGGATGACCATGAACTGCTTTGAACTACACTAGGTATCTGTGGTGGTTAGTTGACAATGAAGTGCCTGTAACCCATGCTTCAGCATTAGACACACTCACTGCCTTCTTACCAGCACTTCATTGCCTTTTCCATAAGCTATAGTCTGTTTTCACAAGAGCTTTAATTTGTTTATTGCTCTTTTAAATATAAATTAGATTCTGTTGACTATACACAAGTGTTATGGGTAATTAATATTATTTAGTACAGATTTCTAAAACATCAATCATCATTGAAGACCCACATGATCCTGTTCTCTGTCTTTGTTAGTTACCTTGTTTTTGGAGTTTTGGAAGCGGCGCCAGGCGGAACTTGAGTATGAATGGGACACTGTTGAGTTACAGCAGGAAGAACAGCCCCGGCCCGAATATGAGGCACGATGTACTCACGTGGTGATCAATGAGATTACTCAGGTAAGGAACACGCCACTCGGATGCATTTTAGACTGTTTATTGCAGGGGTTCCCAACCGTGGCTGCGCAGTAGGATCACCTGGAGACCTTAGAAAGTATTGATGCCTGGGTCCCGTCACTACATACTCTAATGGTACTTGGTGGCCTGGTATGTATTCTGGGACGCCTGGTAAAAAGCTCCTCTGGTAATTCTAATGTGCACCCAAGGTGGAGAAGCTATGCTTAAAACGTGGACATGGGAGATAAATGTCCCTTCTTTCATAGTAACAGTAAAAATGGAAAAGTTAAACTGACATAAATGTACAGTAAGTCCTCACTTGATGCCATCAGTAAGTTCTGCAACTTTAAGCAAAATGACATATAATGAAACCAGTTTTACTATAGGCTAATTGCGATAAACAAGTTAAATTCCTACATTTTCTCATCAATGTTATAACGAAATGCCATTGAACGAAATGATGTTGTTTGAGGACCTGCTATATAAGAAAAAAATGCATTGGTTTGTGTTCTTTCTTTCCTAATACCAGTAAAAAACACACAAAAATAGACTCTGTGACATACTGTGTGAGGAAGATGCATAGGTTTTTACAGTTGATTCTCAGTTTTTCGCACGCGCCTTCATTGTTTCCGCCCTTTCGTCCTAGACTTAGCTGCCCCTTTGCCTTGCACAAAAGCCTCAGTCACTGCTCCCCCTTCTGGTTGGGATGTGCACGAAGTAAAGGGGGGAGGGATGAAAACGGAAACATTTGAGGTCCAACGGTGTTCAGTCACTGTGGGAGGCATTTTATATAATTGGTAAGGTAAGTTTGCTGCTGCTACTGCTGCTAATTAATAAAAAACACACACATCAACCTATAGCTCTCTCTCTAAGTATTCCAAAGCCAGCGAAAGATGATTTTTGAATCATCTGCATTGTTGCTTCTTTCCATCAACACAGAAAATTTAGAGCCCATTGTACTTACAGTCATCAGCTTCAGGACAGTAGCTTCTGAGTATGAATAACTCTCAGGGAAAAAATGCTTTTACCAACAGCATCTGAAATGTCCTCAACTCTAGATTTTATAAATTGAATCACAGATTTACAGAATGTCAGCACTAAAAGGGACTGGAGGGGACAGTTCAACTCCTCATTTTATAAGTGAGGGAAAAAATGAGGTTCGGTTATCAAGAGTAGGTGACATTTGTCTTTTGCAGTGTAACAAGCTGCAAATAATCCCCATTATGAATAGTTCCTGCTGTTGACTGTGGAAGACAGGGCAAAACAAGGGTTGTTGAAAGACTGCATTTGGAAATGAAAGCTGAAACTTAGATAGACTTGTATGTTCATAACATGTTTTGAGGAATGTAAAACAAAAACTTGTATTGGCAACATAAGGAAAATGCCAAAGAAAAAACAATTTGGTGATTTAAACCTGCCAATTCTACATTTAAAATTGCCAACTAATAGGTTTAAATTTCCACTGAAACATTGCTTGTTAAAAAAATTAAAGGTGAAAGTTGTTTTGGTTTTTTTCTTTGTCTATCTCATTTTATTTTTGTTCCTAATACATCTTGGTTTAGAGAGAAGCACGTGGTGGTTAAGACTTGAGAGGGAGGGTGCCTGAGTTCAAATTTGAGCACAACAACTTAATGGCTGAGTGATTCTGGACAAATTATTTAACTTCTCTGTGCCATTGTTTCCTCAGTTATAAAATGGGAACAAATATAGCTTCTTTATGTGATTGTAGTAAAGATTCATTGACTTAATGTATAGAACCTGCTTCAAAGAGTACCTGGTACAGACTAAATAACACAAAAGTATTTGCAGCTATTATTATGCGATAGCTGCTTTTACTATCCAGGTAAATCTTGAGAAGTATTGATTTCTTCTCTTAAAGTTTTAAATATATTTGTATAAAGTATAAAGCAAAAACTTTACAAATTCAGTTATGACAAATTAATGTGTTAAGCTCAACCAAGAAACACATACTGGATACCTGGTATTTGCAAACATCTGTGAAATGTTTTGTCTTGCACAGGCTCTGTGCTCTTTCCCATTGCTTCACTCCTAACATCTAAGGCAAGCTCAGAAATGCAGCTTCACAACTTGCCATTGTCACATTCCCAACTCCCGAGCTCAGGTTATGGCAGGTAAATTACTCACACTTGCATTTTCAAAAAATACTAAAATATTAATATTAAAATATTAAAACTGCACATTTGTTGTATGAGTCTTTGAAACTGTTAACCAAAAAACATGCAATTATGAGTAAGGAGGCTATGTTTGAAAATGAATTTTTAGAAAAATTCAATTCAACCTAGGATTTAGTGACACATCAGGAGAAAAGTCATTTCATTGGAGTAATCCCTTGATTGTCTAAACTTCTTTTTTTTAATCAGGAAGAAGAGCGTGTTCCCTTTACTACCTGGGGGAAATGCATACGTGCCGTCCTCTGTGCGAGTGCTGTCTTATTCTGGGTAAGAGTCTTTCACAGAATTTAATATCGAATTTTAAATGTCAAGGAAGCTGAAAGCTGAGCTGGAGACTGTATAATCTCATGTGTTTAAATCAGATCAGTGGCCCAGGATTTTCCAGTTTCTGGTGAAGAAACCATCTGGGAGGCATAAAGAATTCTAAAGCTTTTCAGCAGTAACAACTAAAATAAAATGTCTAGAAAAGTCCTAACAAAAAGACGATAGGAACTATCAAAGAAAAGGCATAAAAACTGCTGAAAGATGTAAAAGAAGCCTTAACAAATGATTCTAGATCAAAAGACAGTATTTTTAAAATATCGGAACTTAGGAAAAAAATTTTTGGTTTATTACTAATAAAATCATATTTGTAATATAATAATCAGTAATATTAAGAGAACTTTATTGGCTCAAGAATAGCCAGGTTAGAGAATAGGACGTGAAGCCCAGTATGGGCCCTGATATCAATAATAATTTAATAGCCTGGCCAATTTAATAGCTGAGGCTTAGTGAGTGAGCATCCATCTATGATCCAGGAGATCCTGGATTGATTCTCGGTCAGTGCACATGCCCGGGTTGCGGGCTCGATCCCCAGTGGGGGGCGTGCAGGAGGCAGCTGATCAATGACCCTCTCATTATTGATGTTTCTGTCTCTCACCCTCTCCCTTTGTCACTCTGAAATAAAAACATGTTTAAAATAATAATAATAACTTAATATACAAGAAGGGAGACATTATAAATCAGTGGGATAAGTAAAAATTATTCAATAAATAGTAGTGGAACACTTGTTAGCTATTGCGGGAAAAGTTGAAGGTTGAAATCATATCGTGAAACATACTATAATAAATTCCTGAAACCTTAAAAATAAGTAACACCAAAAATAACTAGAAATGAATATTGACGAATATATGATCTCCAGATGTAAGACGTTTTCTAAATTTAATAGCAGTGGGAGAACTTTTGGAGTAAAATACTTAAAGATTTTCGTACATCAAAAGCATCCTATGTTTAAACAAAACACCAAAACTATTCATAACAATTATTATTGTTAAAAAATAGGGCAAAGGGTTAATAACTTCAGTACATAAAAAGTCCAGATCACTTCTAACACCCAAGATCTCAGGAGCTTAGGAGGCAGAGAACATGAGTACACATTCACAACAGAAAAGAATATCATGGCAGATGTCAAACCCCAATAGTAATTAGATTAGTGCACATTAAAATGAGATAGTTTCTCACCTCTCAAGTGATAAGACTGAGTGTTTGAGAAGATAAAATGCAGTGGTCATGGGGGTAGGGGTGAAGGTGGAAGAACGCATAGAGGGGATAAATGGTGATGGAAAAAATAAGATAAAAGAAATGCAATGATCAGTATTTTCATACCTAGGCTGTTAGAATTTTATACTGCTCTGGCCTTAGAAAGCAGTTTGGCAGTATGTATCAGGAGTCAAAAGTATTCATGTACTTTAATCTACTAATTCAGATTTTTAAAACTTTAAATCAGAAAGCATTTCGAAATGGTAAAGTCGGTAAAGATTTAGTCACAGACATATATATATTCATACCAGCCAAAATATTCTACTTCCAGCTCTTTATACAGTGGAATATTGTGTAGCTGTGAAAAGCTATGCCCATGAAAATATTTTATTACATATAAAAATGTTATGGTTATAATAGGCTTAAGGAAAAGATACAATCAATTATTAAATTGATTTTTAATACACAAACTACATAGTTCTGAAGGAATTGTGCCTATAGATAGATAGTAGATACATTTTTTTCTTATATTCCTTTACTTTTTAGTTTTTTCTTTTATAGTTAGGAGCCTTTCAATAGTAGGTGACAGAAAATCAATTTCCAACAACAAAGTAGGGGTGAGTGGGATTTACTGGCTCCTGTAACTGAAAATCGCAGGTCTGAGGTATGGCTCTGGTCCGGATAGACACTGCAGCCCCGATGGTGTCAGGGCTGTCTCGTTGTCTTTGTTCTGTGTCCTGTGGTCTCCTGCCGGTGGTTCTGGGCACTCTCCCTTAAGGTTGCAGAATGGCTGCAGATTCCAGATCTCACATCACACTGAAGCCCAGAAAGGTCTCTGTCAGCAGCTTCCTCTAAGGAAGCTCCTCTTTCCCATGGACACTAGGAGGTATCTCCTCACCTCTCAGTGGCTCTTTTAGGTTGTCAGTCCTTGAATCAGTTGCTCAGGCCAATGGGACGAGACACCGATTTGTCTTAAATGAATCAGAATCTACCTCTGGAGTCCAGGGGCAGGAGGGCAATCTAGCCCAAACCATGGGACTGAAAATATTCCCCAAAAAGCAAAATCTGGGTCCTTTTCTAAGACTGGAAACAGACCCAGGGAAGCAAAAGCAACAGTTGCTCACTGCAGGGTACTTTCAAGTTTTCTGTGATGAGCATATGCTAAAAGTTGTAAGAAAAGTATATTAAACTTATAGTGAGAAGAGATACATAAACTTGTGGAAGGGGAATGCAAAGCTTCTCTGCCCCCTATGAAGAAATATTGAACCTGCCCAGTGCCCTGAGGAAGTTTGGAAACATTGTAAAAGCTCTGGAATAAATTAGAATTCATTTCAGAAACCAGGTGGGAGGCAGCACCAGGTAGGGGTTAGTGTGTCTTTGGAGTCCTTGAGTATCTCAGTTCTTTTACTTACTAGTTGCTTAATGTGGAGCAAGTTACTTAATCTCCGGGTGGCTCTGTTTCCTTACCCATAAAAGATCTGATACTACCTGCCTCGCAGGGCTGCGCGAGGGCTTAAAGGTAGACTGTGCGGAGGTGAATAGTAAGCATTTAAAGAATCTTAACAATTCTAATTACTTAATAACTTCACAGATTATGGAGATAATTATTTAAAATACATACCATTTAAATGGTCTTTGTGTGTTGTGCTGAGAGAGAAAGAATTGATATACCTTCTCTGATACGTATTTCTCAGCTTGGCTAATTTTCACATATACTCCACACATTAAAAAAAAAAAAGTTGTTCCTTTCACAAGTGTTAAGCCTCAGCTGTGAAGGAAAGTAGATAATGAGAGAGATTAAAGGAGGAAATATAATGCCTCCTCTGCAAACCGATGGCTTAAAAAATAAGAAAAACATCTTGTTAACACTTTAGTTGTCATAATCACAGCTAATATTTATACAGGACTTTTCATGTGCCTGGGCTTAATGTTCTACGTGTTTTTTCTGACGGCAGCTCACTGAGTCCTCACAACAATCCTCTAAGTTAGTTGCTGTTATAATCCCCCCATTACACGGGTGAGGAAATTGAAACCCCCAGGGGTTAAATAATTTGTACAAGGCCCCACAGCTAGTGGCAGAGCCACGATTCCCATGCAGGAGTCCGGCTCCAGGACTGTGCTTGTAACCAGCCACTCCCTTGACTGCTCTCCAAGGTGAAAACCAGCCCCCTCTGTTACTGAAAAGAACAGGACATGATTTGCTTAGTCCTGAGACACATTCTTTGTAGCTTTTCTCTCTCGGGGCAGTCATCACCAGCCATCAGACACATTGAGTTCATGCCTCTGGAGCATGCCCAAGAGGTAGATGTAGGGAAATCACTTTCAGAACGGGCCCTTTAATGTGCAACATTCAGTGGCAGAGAAAACCCGCCTGGTGAGGAAGTGAAATCGTATCAACCAAGTGCAAACTATTGCTTCACACACCTCTGCTGGCACTGGGTCTGTGCCGTCAAAAATGCAGTGGGTTAGTGAAATGAATCTTGTGCAAACACAGGTTATGAACAACTGCCAGTTTAAGATCTTACAATATGAGCATGAAAAGTGGGCGACACTTTCATAAGCAGAGACCTGCTGCCATTTTCAGTGGTTCCCTTGGGGCATCTGCACAGCCTCTGAACACGTCCTGGTCAGAAACACCCTTGGTACCGTAACTAAGACAAAAGCCAGCACCGGCTGACCCCTGAACCACGGGTAGGCTCTGTTGGAAGGACACATACCCCTTTAGTGGAGCAAAGAACACTCAGAACCTAAATAATTTCATAATTGTAGGAGGGATGTTTTCTCTGGTCCTGCTGTCACAAAGACTCTTTCCTTATACCAGAACATGCTACCAGTTATTCCATTTTTACCCCATCTGAAGACATATTCTCTCTCCTTTTTTAATTAGACCTTTAAAATATATATATGTACACACACACACACATATATATATTTAGAGAGAGGGGAAGGGAGGGGGAGAGGGAGAGAAAAAGAGAAACACCGATGTAAAAGTGGACCATCGATCAGTTGCTTCCTGCATGCCCCCCACTGGGGACCGAGCCTTCACCCCAGCAACCCTCCAGCGCGTGGGACGACCTGAGCTGCATTGGTCAGGGATAGACCTTTTTTTTGTAGAGTAATACTATGTTTATAGAAACATTGCACAGAAAGCGCAAGGTTCTCATAATCCCTCCCTCCCCACACAGCCTCTTTTGACATCTTTTTTTAGTGGACACACTCTCTGGTGATTTCCATCATTCCTTTTCCTTTCTTTGACGTTTAATGTGCTTGATTTCCACCTCTCTGGTGGCAGTTCTGTGAGATTTAACATCACTTCACCCGTGCACCTTGTCCATTTAAAGCATGGGGCCAATTTTTTAGTGTGAGAATGTGATTATTGGTGAATCTCATGCTACTTTGTTTTTACTGTGTTTTCAGATCCTACTTATCATTGCTTCAGTTATTGGGATCATTGTCTACAGACTCTCAGTGTTCATTGTATTTTCTGCAAAACTTCCCAAGAACTTGAATGGAACAGACCCGATCCAGAAGTATCTGACCCCACAGACGGCCACGTCCATCACCGCTTCCCTCATCAGCTTCGTCATCATCATGATTCTGAACACCATCTATGAGAAAGTGGCAATCATGATTACTAATTTTGGTAAGTCCTTACCACAGCTTACATCATTTCTAGGACATTTCTTAGAACCTGGTAGAGATGGAGACTCGTATCTTTTAAGCTTTTCAATTCCAGTACGTTACAATTCTTAGAAAATTTCAAGTGTAAACATATTTTCTCTAGCCTGTATGGGGCATGAATTATCTACAGCTTTGCATTAGTAAAAGGGACAAAGCAAAGACAATCATCATAATGTCCAAGCTTTGTATAAACAGATCAGTGCTGAAGAATATTTTCAATTACATTACATCATGTACCCTATTGTTGAAAGTAAATAGTCTCTTCATTGCAAATAAGTGAAACAGGGTCATGGTCCCAGTGGCGAATACGCTCCTCTGTTGCTGAGAGGACAAGCAATCATGCTGTTACATGTCTTCCCCCATTCTGTTCACATTAATACAGCTCCATTCTCATCAGCTCCGGCTTCTGTAATAAATGATTCTTCTCTCTGGCTCGTATCCCAGGCAGCTGCTTTGTGGCCAAAGTTAAGTGCTTCCCACACGCTGCATATGTCTGGGCTCTCCGCGTGGCCTGCTCAGTGGTCATGTTCTGAGAATGATTAGCCCAATTTAAATTTCCAAACTAGGAGATGACCTGTTTTGTCTTCCCCAAATGCTTCTAGCAAGTTGCCCCCTGTTTTGTTTGTTTTCTTCAACACCTACTCAAAAAAAGACAAGAGAATATCATTCTTGCCCATTTGATAACATTGGTTTTGTAAATTTTAAGGAACAGTTGTAAATATTATTGTATTTATGGGGAAGAAGCTCTCATAACAATGTGTAAACTTGAATTAACACAGTAGCTATATTAAGGAGATCAAAACAGCTTAAGAGGAAACCGTATGAATTGTATTTTTTAAACATTTTAACTCCTGTATCAGTGTCTTTGATTAGGGTCTCATAGCTGTTCACAATTTTTAAAACTTAAGTTTTCTTTGCATTAACTGCAGAACTCCCAAGGACCCAGACTGACTATGAGAACAGCCTAACCATGAAGATGTTCTTATTCCAGTTCGTCAACTACTACTCTTCATGTTTCTACATCGCATTCTTCAAGGGCAAATTTGTCGGTTATCCCGGAGACCCAGTGTATTGGCTGGGAAAATACAGAAATGAAGAGGTATGAATGTAGAATTGTATCATCTCAACAATTTTAAGACAGTTTCTTCATCGTACGTTCTTAGATTGTTTTTCATTCTAAAGAGAAAATCAGAAAAATTAAAATAACTGTTTCACACTAGAGCCATCTAAAATCTAAATGAGATTTTCTTTTTAATATCCCAGTGTGACCCAGGCGGCTGTCTCCTTGAACTGACAACACAACTGACAATAATCATGGGAGGAAAAGCAATCTGGAATAACATACAAGAGGTGTTACTTCCGTGAGTATCAAGTTGTGTGATCTGGAAGATAGGACGGGGGTAACACAGCCACGTAGTTTGCCTGCACGTCCACCTCTAAGGTGGAGTGGACCCTGCGCTTATTAAAGGTCTTTGGACAAGATGGTCCAACCCTCGGTATAAACGTGTGTGTTTGCACCTTCGTTTCAAGCAAGCCCATGGCTGCAAGTTACAGGGACCTGCAGTTTTTCCTTCCGCTGTTTCTTCTCCTGCCTGAAATGTTTAGGAAGTGTGTTTTGAATCACTTTCCCTTGTTTGAACACTAGGGATGCTGAGTGTTAGCCAAGTTAGAGAGCGACTCTGGCTCCTCCCATCACTGCTGCTTCTCTGTGTGTAGGTGCTAGTGCCCTTCCAGTTCTTTTCATACAAAATTTTAACATACCAAAGATATATTAGTTACTCTTGCTACCCAAAACTACACCCATAGTACGTAGGAAAGCAGAGAAACACCTTATAAGTCAGTGGCTGTGTTCACACCATTTAAATGTGTCAAAAGGAACATAGTGAAATGGATTCCACCGTAGCCGTACCTTCCACCCCAGCCGACTCGGGGCCCTTGGCTAGAGCTCTCCGGGTAAACGCGGCCGCATATCTGATACTGTGCCCGAGGTTCCCGCTGGGTCTCTCCAGCACCTAGAAGGGCACCTGGTGTTTAGCAGGCACTGAGTGACTCATATGCTTCAAATCTTTAACATTAGTAAGTTAATAGAATTGTTCTTTGGACTCAGACGGCAAGCTCCGAGCTCCTTGGCCTTCCCGGCCACAGTGTTTGAGGCAGTCCTGGGAATTTTATTCTGGACATGCTTGACAAAAGGCTACTACAATGTCTGAATTAAGCAGCTTACTCTGGAGAAATTTTTATGATAAAATGTTAAGGAGAATAATTAGTTAAATATCCAAAATACCAACAGCATCATCCTTTGGTCGAAATTTAGATAACGATGACTGTCATTTTCTTCCCCTATATGTTTCCTATACTTCCCACAGTGGGTGTGCACTACTTACAAGAAAAGTGAACTGTTATCTTGAGAAGGGGTATTTTATATGATTTGGTTGGTGGGTGAACCAGAGACCTGCAATAAGAGAGCCCTAAATACAGGTATCCCTCACTGGCCACGCTTGCTCTTAAAATTCAGGAACATAAACTCGGGAGTGAAACAGATTCAGATAGGAAAGGGTGCTTGTATTTAAAATTAGCGAGTGGGAATTCTGTAGAATGTCCTAAATACAAATGATTATCTGTAGTATGTGGATTAATTATGATAATGAAGAGAAAATGAGGTATAAAGTACTTCACACTGTGCTCTACACCGAGCAAGGACTTAGTAAAGGGCAACTTATTATGATGCTGTTCTGCTAATATGCATGGTCAAGTCCTAAGAAAATTACTTAGGTGGCCCCTGCTAGAGAGAGGAGGCACCCAGCCATGGCCAAGGAAAGAAGTGTCTGGCGTCTGTATTTTTAAAAACTTCTCTAAACAATTCTCATGTGCAGCCAAGATGGATGTCCCTGCACTAGAACCATGACCCAGCAGAAAACCCAAAAGACCAGGGACGACGATGAACTGACTACAACCTAAGATTTCCTTCTACAGAGGAGTGGTTCATTCAGGAAGACTGAACAAGAGGCTAAGCGTGTGCAGCTCAGGAAGGAGAGCTATTCGGAGAGACTTCTGATGTGACCCGTTATGGGTGAGGGAAGGCAGGACAGTGACCCGTTATGGGTGAGGGAAGGCAGGACAGTGACCTGTTATGGGTGAGGGAAGGCAGGACAGTGACCCGTTATGGGTGAGGGAAGGCAGGACAGTACCAGAGGCAAGCGGCTGCCAGGACAGAAGCTTCCACCCGAATCCAAACTGATGGGTTTGGGGCCTCAACAGTAAGAGACCTATTCCCCTGGGCCATGGAGAGGCTTCAGCAAGAGGCTGAGGCTGGAAGTGTGAGGCAGAGCAAAACATAAACCAATTGAAACCAGCCATCTGGAGCTTGGGGTCATGAGGGGTGGTGGGCCTGTGTGGTTGCCGGTGCCACCTTCTTCACAAGACCCCTGGAATGTCCGTAACGCTGAGGATTCCCAGACTTGACGGATTACAGAGCCTTGGGTTGGAGCCTGGGGAGCAGTAGGAGCAGCGAGCATTCCGTGCTCTTGTAGGTGCTGGAGTGAGATCCGCCGGCCCAGACAGCACCACGTCCCTGAGCCAAGAGCCTAAATAATTTAGGATGTATTTACAGTTGGCCTGAGCCGGCTAACCTGGATTGGTCAAAAAGCAATCTCACATAGTGGGTCCTGAGGCGTTAGGAAGTGTGCCAAATGCCTTACCTGCCTTACTGAAATCATTCAATCCTGACAGCAACCCTGGGCAGTGTAGGTTTTAACACCCCACTTTATTTGAACTTGACCAAAATTAAATAGTAAGCAGTGAAGTGTGGCTTCATAGTCAAGGCGTGTCCGAGCCCATGTCCCCTCCACTTCCCACAGCCTTCTGCTATGCCCCTAATGTCCTAGAGGAGAAAGAGGCGGGGAAGGATTGTGAAGCCAGGGCACGCTCTGTTGTAGAAAGATCTCCCCTTAGCACACCTTGATCAGTGTAGAGTTAATGCTGAGGTCAGTGGCGCTGGGAAACCCAGCAGCGAGCTAGCCCTGTCCTACACTGTGTGTGCGCACGCCTGCACATGCCGTCTATACAACTGCGTTTGCATTAGTGTGAAGCCTTCTCATTGTCAAATTTGGAATCAATACAAGCACGTCATCCCGTCAGCCGAAGCTTAGGCAGATCTTTACGTCTGTGTTTGAACTTGTTGGTTGTTATGGCTCCTCTTCTGCTGAACTCCACGAGGAAACCACAAGCCACTGCTGCTTTAGGGGACAACCGTTCTCTCTGCTACAGGTGCACACTTAGTGTCGCTGCCAACTCGCGTTTCTTTTCAGGACAGATTGCAATAGAAAGGGGGGGAGGAGCACTTATCTGGGCCAGAAGGCTTTGAGAAAACCACGACACAGAAGAGACAGCAGCTAGTATCCAGCAGTGGGCAGAATGCCAGGCCACCAGCTGAGGCGGCGTCTTCTCCTAGCTCTGCACCAGGACTTCGAGGAAGTAGATCGTGTCTCGGGTCCTTGATNACCAGAGGCAAGCGGCTGCCAGGACAGAAGCTTCCACCCGAATCCAAACTGATGGGTTTGGGGCCTCAACAGTAAGAGACCTATTCCCCTGGGCCATGGAGAGGCTTCAGCAAGAGGCTGAGGCTGGAAGTGTGAGGCAGAGCAAAACATAAACCAATTGAAACCAGCCATCTGGAGCTTGGGGTCATGAGGGGTGGTGGGCCTGTGTGGTTGCCGGTGCCACCTTCTTCACAAGACCCCTGGAATGTCCGTAACGCTGAGGATTCCCAGACTTGACGGATTACAGAGCCTTGGGTTGGAGCCTGGGGAGCAGTAGGAGCAGCGAGCATTCCGTGCTCTTGTAGGTGCTGGAGTGAGATCCGCCGGCCCAGACAGCACCACGTCCCTGAGCCAAGAGCCTAAATAATTTAGGATGTATTTACAGTTGGCCTGAGCCGGCTAACCTGGATTGGTCAAAAAGCAATCTCACATAGTGGGTCCTGAGGCGTTAGGAAGTGTGCCAAATGCCTTACCTGCCTTACTGAAATCATTCAATCCTGACAGCAACCCTGGGCAGTGTAGGTTTTAACACCCCACTTTATTTGAACTTGACCAAAATTAAATAGTAAGCAGTGAAGTGTGGCTTCATAGTCAAGGCGTGTCCGAGCCCATGTCCCCTCCACTTCCCACAGCCTTCTGCTATGCCCCTAATGTCCTAGAGGAGAAAGAGGCGGGGAAGGATTGTGAAGCCAGGGCACGCTCTGTTGTAGAAAGATCTCCCCTTAGCACACCTTGATCAGTGTAGAGTTAATGCTGAGGTCAGTGGCGCTGGGAAACCCAGCAGCGAGCTAGCCCTGTCCTACACTGTGTGTGCGCACGCCTGCACATGCCGTCTATACAACTGCGTTTGCATTAGTGTGAAGCCTTCTCATTGTCAAATTTGGAATCAATACAAGCACGTCATCCCGTCAGCCGAAGCTTAGTCAGATCTTTACGTCTGTGTTTGAACTTGTTGGTTGTTATGGCTCCTCTTCTGCTGAACTCCACGAGGAAACCACAAGCCACTGCTGCTTTAGGGGACAACCGTTCTCTCTGCTACAGGTGCACACTTAGTGTCGCTGCCAACTCGCGTTTCTTTTCAGGACAGATTGCAATAGAAAGGGGGGGAGGAGCACTTATCTGGGCCAGAAGGCTTTGAGAAAACCACGACACAGAAGAGACAGCAGCTAGTATCCAGCAGTGGGCAGAATGCCAGGCCACCAGCTGAGGCGGCGTCTTCTCCTAGCTCTGCACCAGGACTTCGAGGAAGTAGATCGTGTCTCGGGTCCTTGATTTGTTCGGCTTAGACTATGATCTTAGACCTGTTTTATCCAATGTCAAACTATGTCACTTTTCTCTCAGTGTCCCTCAATGGTTCCCCAGTTTCCTCAGACTAAAAAAACACACCCAAATCCTCACAACAGTCTCTTTGCCTCCCCTGCTTGCCCCTTTGCCTCCTTAATATCTCTTTTCCGATGTCACTCTTAGTAAGGCCTTCCTGCCACCATCCCCACTCCTCCCTGCCGCAGATGCAAACGCTTTTTCCCCACAGTACTTATCACCAGTTCACAATCCATGTCTTGGTTTTGTTTCTTTTCTCTGGAAAGACAATTCTAGATAATAGCGTGGAAAGGAGAAAAAGTAAAGTTAATCAAATGAGGGAAAATATATTTTAAAGACTAGACTGCCTTTATGAAAAGGAGCTAAGAGAAAAAGTAGCAGTTATAATTTTAATAAACCAGGATACATGGTATTATGTTTCAAAATATTTTGGGGTAGGGAGGCAGAAGTAAACAATTTAGCGTGAAAATGCAAGATTAATTTATTGGGAAGATTATGTATTCAGCTTGAGATATCACTGACTACTTGTTCTGACCATGTTCTAATTTATAATTTGATCCTTTTGGCAGCTGGGTCAAGAATCTAATCGGACGCTGTCGCACAGTTTCGGGCTCAGAAAAGATATCCCCGCGATGGGAACAGGACTACCATCTGCAGCTCATGGGCAGGCTGGGATTATTTTATGAATATCTTGAAATGAGTAAGTCATAAGTGAAAGTTTAGGTGATATGTTATACTGGAGCATGTTTTGGATCCCGAAAGTCATGATTATCAAGCCAAATAATTGTCTGGGATATTGAAATGGGGTTTTTCCTCCACTAGATAAAAGTATACAACCAGGCTTTCAAATAAGGCGACTGTGCATCTTTGTATTTGTGTTGTACAGAGCTAAGGCTTATTCCGCTGAAATGGAATAGTCGCGGAGGAGCGTCGTCATTAGTTCTCGGAGCCTCTAACAGAGTGGGCTGAGGGAGAACTCGGAACTCTTAGATGTGATTCAGCGCGGGCTGGAGCGCTTCCCAACCGAGTCCTGTAAGCGAGCCCGAGCCGTACAGGAGCCCGGGGAGGAGCGCGCTGCTGCTGGTCGCAGGGGTGACCACGGCCCCCTCCCCTCACTCCTGCCTTTGGCAGCATAGCTATTCCTTCTGGCCAGTGGCCTCTGCCTGGTGCCTTGAGCGACCTCATGACTCATCACTGGCTTGAATGCAGAACCATTTCGCTGGTCTGGAATTAAGATTTAGCACAGGTCTCCTCCCCCTTGAAGGCCTTTGTGCATTTGTGGAGCGTTTGCTTGGGCTCTGTGTCTCTTCAGTTGAACTGGATTTTGAGCTCAGTTACCTTTAAATGGATGCATCTCAAAATAGATTTCCATAGGAAACACCATCTTTTCTATTGTACATGACACACATCTAATAGAAGGCTAACAGCGTGTATGTTTTGTGTCTGCCCTTTCAGCTAACCATTGCATTGAATTACAGTTGTTTTTTCAGTTTAGAAAAAAGGCATTTATGCAAAGGGGTTTGAGTGGATGCGGAGACACAGACCTGTTTGCAAGTCTGCAGAGAGAGAGGGCGGCTTTTATTAAATCACATTCTATATATAAAATAATTGCTTTTAAAATATATGTTATACATGGAAATACATCTGCTTCCTTCGGTGAGTGAAAGGTTCATCTTGTAGCTTCTTCAGTCAGCAGTGCTTTGCAGCCAGGGGTCTGATTTGAATTTCCTTTTTGCTTGTGTTATGTTTTGTGACCAGGTTCAATTAAGGGTATAGCTGTCATACATAATGCAGAAGCTATATTTATTCTGTTTATTTCCACAAGGACTTTCAAGACACCTACCTGTTATTCTAAAATGAGTCATAATTATAAATATTTCATGTGGAGCTATTATCAACATTAATAACATTCTGGGGCAGAATATCATTTGTTATTTTAGCACCAAAAAACCTTGGGAAAAAAGAATTATTTTCCTGTAGTTGATTAGTCAAACCAATGTCATTGAGAGGAAAAGTTACATGGTTGTGTTTTAGGGAGAAGTTGATATGACTTTGAGTTTCCTAGTCTCATTAAAATAATTTCCAACTTACATAATTCAGCCTCACCCTACCTTATGAAAAGATGGAATAACAACTGTTATAGACAGTTCTTTTTAGGTTTATTAATTTGTTTTCCTATTATTTAAATAATACCTAATGAGTTAGAAAGTTCAGTCAGTTTCTAAGAGTAGACAGTCTGTTATTCTGTATGCAACTCCAAAGTGAAATCTATTTTTTGTTCTTTTAGGTTATGGGAGATAGAATTTCCAAGTGCCCTTTGAATTATTTTTGTTTTTCTAAAATAAATAGAGTGCCTTTGGTGCGGTCTCATCACCACACGGTTTCCCCTTTCTTTCCATTCCCCATGTTCATTATGATACCACCATCTACCTTTTCAGTTCTGAAGGGAAACATCTGACTAACCACCCTGGAGCGCCCTTACCCTGGCCCAGGCCTTGCGCCGGCCACCAGCTCTGTTCTCCTCTGCCCGAAATGCCTCTTCTTTTCTGTCTGAGGAATTCCTGCCAGGCCTCAGCGTCACCCTCAGCTTTTCACACAGACCAGATGCTTTTCCCTCTAGGCATTAGCTTGACTCCTGTGTTGGTGGTATAGGTATTGTGTGCGAGCCTCTCTCCCTGCCCAGACTGCTCCTGTTGGAGGGAGCTGGCAGGGCCTCTGCACCTTTCAGTCATGGGTGGGAGCACCACCGCCTGGACATAGACCTCATAAATATTTCTTTAAGTGACCTGAGCTTGGAGTTTCAACACACACATATCACTGTGAGAGGAATTTACATTAAGATTGCCCCAGCCACCCCCACCGAGTTCATTGTGGCATATGTTTTGGGGGAGACTTTTTGAGTGAAACTTTTTTTTATTTAGCAAATTCCCCACCATCCTTTGAGATTATTAGAGTAACCCTGGGATATTAACCAAAATTGCCTCCCTGAGTATATGGTTCTGACTTCTGAAATCTCGGACACAGGAGTTAGAGAAAGTCTGTTGGTCTTAAAATCCGGAGGCCATAAGATAGCATTTCGTACAGAGCATGGCATGGCACACACACCAGAGTGTTGAGAACTCCTTGGTGCCCTCCCAGTGGGCATGAGCCATAAATGAAGTGAAGTAAAGTGATGACATGTCCCGTTTGACCGCACCTTCCTCCATCCCTAATTTTTAAAAATTTATTAAAACAATGACCTCCATATAGTATTTTCTCCATTTGATTTGCTGTAATTAATATCAACTGTTCTTCACCTGCTCCTTGCACCACCCCCTTTCCTTTCCTCTCTCTCCAGGGCTACAGCACCCCCCACCCTCTCCAGGACACAGGCCTGTCTTCCCCCCGTTCCCTCATCTCTGCTGTTTCCGCCCACCACCTGTATTGATGTTTCCTCGTCTTTGCAGGATCTTTCCAAAATGGAAAAGGCACTAGAGCTAGGTAGCCTTTAAAAAAAAAAAAAAAGTGTGTGTGTGTGTAAATATATAAATGTATTTTTATTTATCTTTATACTTATATACACACACACACAGCCCTTGGCTTTTTAAAATTTAAGGAAAACAGTAATCAAGAGGAAAAACATTCCAGGGAGAGAGAAATGTTTGGCCATATCAAACGCTGCCTAGTAATCCAGTAAATATGAACTGAAATGTCAGTGGCTTTGGGACACACAGCCGCCGGCAGCAGGAGTCGCAGGGCTGAGGCAGGTGGAGCTTTCAGGAGGGACAAGTGGTAGAGAAAGAATCAGTGTAGGTCCTTCAAGAAACTCGACTTTAAAGTGACAAAGAAAGCATGGAAAGTATCAGAGAGCAATGTAGGTCATGAAGTTCCAGGCAAGGGTTATTTTTGTTTTCCCAAAGGGTGTTTTTTGCCTTGCTGAATTGAATTGATAGGCCATTCGTTACTGTCTCCTTGCTTTTCTTGCTTTCAAAAGTTTAGAAAGTTCTTCTTACTTGAATATCAGAACAGATTATTCCATCTGGAATTGATTTTAGTGTCAAAAGTGAGGACTTCATGCCAGTTCTCCCAGTGTGGAGCTAACTATTCCATACTTGAATCTACTGGTTTGAAGCATCACTTTTATAATAATTAAAATCCCATGAATATCTACATCTATTCTTGAAATCTATTTTATCTACTTAATTCATACTATCTATTAATGCACCTGTTCTAAACTATTTCAATCATCATAGCATTATAATATACGTTAATATCTCGTAGAGCTGGTCCTGTTTTGTTTTTCTAGACTGTCCCTAATACTGTCAGTATGCCCATCCCTCATCATTTTACTTGTATATCTGTGTATCTCGAAGAATTTTAGCATGACCTTTCAGCTTTTTTTTAACTACATTTGGGATTAACTAAATTTGTATTCAAATTCTAATTTATATTAGAGAAAAAATGATGAGTCTGCCCACCATTTATTCGTTCATTATTACTTGTTTTATGATGACTTAAAAAAAATAGTCTTAACATTTCTCACTAATTTATTTCTAAATAGTCTGTGCTTTTGTTGTCATTATAAATGGTATCTTCTCCTTTTTGGGTTTTTGGCTGAGTTTATTGCTAATATAGTCCTAATGTCTGGCTTCTCATGAATAATGAGATCAGGCAGCTGTGAGTGGGCCCTTCATTAAGACACACGTTTGCCAGTTCCCATTGGACTGAACCCACTCTACTCACTCCTGTTACGTTGCCTGGCCTGTGTAGGCAGATGAGTTCATTAGATGAGTCAGACGCAGACGTTGACATCACTGCTTGATGCTGTGCTGCTGACTCTATGACATCACCAACTCTGGTCCTTGCTTATCTGATTTCCTTGACCATGACCACACTTGTCAGCTTTTATCTGTACCACACCCTGGCTTCTGAGACCAGAAGCCATTCCAGCTCCTCCTACCCGGCTACCCCTCCAAGTCTTGCCTTTCCTGGCCGGAGTGGTCCCTGCCACTGTCAGCAGTAGCCCTTAAGGGGCTGGCATTTTCCCTCCTCCAGTCTTAGTTACATACTTGTACTAGTTTGCTTTAAAGGTATGCCAGTTAGGAGGGAAGGGTCTAAAACAGAATAGTATAATGTAGTATAGTATATAGTGTATCCCACTTAAATTACAGACATGGAAAACTGCTAAGCCACCACTTGAATCTTGACTGACTGTGACCACATAGACTGCAACAACTTCAAGATATGACTTCCTAAAAAGGGATTATATTTTAACTTAAACTTTTATCTACATTTCTGTGATGTGTAGTAATACCTCCAGTTCTGAATGCGTTGCACTTGCAGACTCAGGGGAGCTTACTCATTTGCCTCTTTTTAGCTTATTTCCTCCAGTGTTCTCTAAGTATAGTCTTCCCAAAGGTGCATGTCTCATTTCTTTTTAACTTGTTAGATACTTCACAATATTTTCTTTTTTTAATCCTAAATCACAAATCATCTTCCAGTATTCTATTATCTCAACATTGAGAATGAATAACATGCTTAGAGTGTCCCACGTTTATTTACCAGCAAATGACTTTGGCTGATTAAAGATTTTTTAATATATTCTGTTAAGTGTATATATAATTTGTCTTTTTCCCAAAGATCTCATATTTGATATTTGTGTTTTGTTTGAATTCTTTCATTGTTGAATATTATTAGTACCATGAATGTCTGTTCTCGTTGGGGGTTAGTTTGTGGTTTGCCTTTCTCTTTCTTTACGAGAGTGAAGGAAAATGTGTTGTCTTGCCATCTCTCCTCCATCCATGATGTGTGTCCATTTCATTGACAGTTATTCAGTTTGGCTTTGTCACCTTATTTGTGGCCTCTTTTCCACTGGCCCCTCTGCTGGCTCTGGTGAACAATATATTGGAAATAAGGGTGGACGCGTGGAAAATGACTACGCAGTATAGACGCATGGTGCCAGAAAAAGCCCAGGACATTGGAGCGTGGCAGCCCATCATGCAAGGAATCGCCATCCTGGCTGTGGTGACCAATGTGAGTAAAACCGGGACTTAACGGGCTCAACACGTTGAAAAGGTCAAAAATGCATTAGGGTTGCTACCTGAGGAATCAGATGTTTGGTATTTCTTAAAATGGGAGAAAGACTATCATCCATATCAACAACATCATTGTAATCGTTATTTTTTATTGTATTTTGTTTATAATTATTACTCATGACTTATAAAGTCAAGACCTCTAGCCTAGGCAGTTGCTAAGAGTTACCATTATATTATTGTTGCACATTTGCTAAAGTTTTTATTTAATAGAAACATGGTAATAGTAATAACAATAAGTACTAACTTTCAATCCTCACGTGACTATAAAAGGAATTATATCCAAAAGTGCTTTTATAATGGAGATAAAAATCTGTCCATTTAGAGTGTGAGGACCCTAAAATAACAGCTATCATTCACCATATTTTACCATCTATTCCAAATTATCAACATAAAATATTAACTATTTGGTGATGAAGTATAAACACTTTGTGCAGTCCCAGTCAGTGTCACCTGTCTCCTGGGGCAGAGGTTCTTTAAGGAGCAGGTTCCCTCTCTCCTCCCTACCCACCCCTTAGCTGCTGCGAGCCACTCTCTGATTATTAGCTAAGCAGCCTCATACTCTGTGTGTGTCCCAGTTGTGAGGGAACAGAATTCAGTTGTTTAACTCATGGACCTGTCTGAACCGTCTCTCTTTTTCCCCAACAAGCCAACAGGAAGCTCTCAGGCAGACTAATTCCCATGCCAGCTCATCAGGGGACCTCCTGCCCTAGAAGTACCCTTACAACCAGGGCTTCTTCCCCTTCCTCCCTTATTTCACTGCCAAGTTCACTCCTAGGTCGCAGTCCCCAACAAAATATCTCAGTTTTAATTTCTTAATCAAGCCACACTTGCCCTGAGTCCCTAGCCTTTTCCCATAAGCACAGAACAGAACTCCGCACCTGTGGGCCAGGCTCCTGGATGCGGGGGGCTGAGCACTGCAGGCTCTGGGATCAGACCCGAGCTCCAGCTCCCAGCACTACCGCTTCCCAGCTACACAGCCCTGGGCAAGGCCTGAACACTCAGAACTCATTTCATCATTTGTAAATTGAATAATTCCCAATGACACACTTGATATCATGTGCCACAAAGGGTGGTTGGGGAATTCAGTGAGTTAATGCCTGGAATGCACAGAGCCTGGACCTCGAGGAATGTTCGCTGCCGCTGTTTATCCTGTTCATGTCTCTGCGTCATTCACGGTGACTGTGGAGACTTTGACAGGTGTCTAAACTAGAGGCACAATTTTACAGTGTGTCACTGTCAGGACCGTGTTAGCTACAGTTTTACACAGTAAAACAAGTTATCTGGAACCCAGCTGTCACCCCAAAGAACCCTCAATTTGTCTGAATTGGATGCTATCCCTCCTTTTTAGAGAAAGTTGCAAATCCCACACAAAAAAAGCACCTAGTAGGTTTATTGGTGGCCATTCACCCAGAGATCTCACACCTTCAACATCCACTGTGCTGTGAAATGAAGACAGATGTTCAGAAATGTGACAGTGCAGCTTCAAGTTCCACAGTCATGAGAGAATGAATCTGTCGTGTCCAATATGCTGCCCAACACGAAGCGTGGCAGGAACGTGGCTTGTGTGCTTTAGCAACATGGGTTGAAACGAAAAGGGTTTTCGTTTGACCTTCAGCTAACCAGAAAATTCAATTGAGTCATGCTCCCATTCCTCAAGCGTCCTGGTTTGATTGTATTAGGCACCTTTACTAGTATCCCCAGCCTGGCTCCACTCCATTAGCGCAGATGGAGCTTTGGCTGTTTCCAGGGCTACTCTGTGTGTGTGTGTGTGTGTGTGTGGTTCTTACCCAAGGAGCAGTTCTTATAACTTAGGCATCTTTTTCTTATACATGTATATTATCCCCTCACCTCCCTAATGTGTGCCTCCCATTCTGATATGCACAAGAAGGGCTAACTTTCCATAACAGGAGAACTTCTAACTGTAGGAAGAAGAGAATAGCTACCAGGGATGAGAAAGGACATTAAGCAGGGTTCCGTGTACAGCCATTCATTTTAAAGCTGCCCGTTCAATGAATAAGCTGAATTGACATTGTTGTGTCATTCCAGAGCATCTGCTATTGAAGACCAATTTTAATTTATTTTTACATAAATGGGAAATTGTGTTTGGAACAGCATGGGAAATGAAGCGCACTGCATTTATTTGTACTCTTGCAGCCTGTCTCAAAGCAGCTCAATTCAGGAGGAAAATGTATCTTGTCAGAAGATAATAGAATTAACTTCCTTGTCAGAATTTTTGTAGCTTCCTAAGCACATCTGCAGGTGATTCTCTAAAAAGCTATAGTTGAGTAAAATAAAACATTTTAATTAGTTGGAATCTGGTAAAAAGTATTCTTGCCTCACACCACCACTGACAGGCAGGCAGACCCACACCCACAGAAATATCTCACTTCAGGGGAAATTTTGTAATAGAAAAGCCCCCGAGTTGTTTCCCTTGCTTTGCCTGAGATCTTTGTTGGCTTGTGGTCTCACTGTGTCTAAACCATATGTTCCTATGAATACTCTTAGAAATCATACCATGCCAAAAACACGTCGTTCTTCTGTATCAATAAATGCCCGAATCAGTCACCTTCATTTATTCACATAGAATTTGGATTAAAATATTTTTAAGCCAGTCAGAGAAAGACAAGCATCAAATGATCTCACTCATATGTAGAATCTAATGAACAAAATAAACTGATGAACAAAATAGATCCAGAGACATAGAAGCATGGAACAGACTGACGAATCTCAGA